AAGTAAAGTTGTGCCATCTGCATAATGCAGGTTATTGATGAGTCTCCCTCCAATCCTGTTGCCATATTCCTCTTTGTAGAGTATAGCATCTTGAATAATTTGCTCAGCATACAAACTGAATAGATCTGGGCAGAGAATACAACCCTTACACAATCCCTTTTTAATTTTAAACCATGTAGTGTTCCCTTGTGAACAACAGCCTCCTGGTATAGGGATAGGTTTCGCATGAGTACAATTAAGTGCTCTGGGATTCCCATTCTTCTCAATGCTAGCCATAACTTGTTATGATCCACACAGTCAATTGCCTTTGCACAGTCAATAAAGCACGAATAGATGTTGTTCTGGTATTCTCAACTTTCATCCAGGATTCATCTTCATGATTAGCCTCTTCTAAATCCTACATGAACTTCTGGAAGTTCTCTGTTTATGAACTGTTCTAGACATTTCAGAATTCACTTCAGCAATATTTTGCTTGCATGTGATGTTAATGATATTGTTTGATAGTTTCTACATTCTATTGGATCACCTTTCTTGAGAATGGGGACAAATATGGACCTCTTTCTATCCACTGGCCAAACAGATGTCCTCCAAATTTCCTGGTGTAGATTGATGAGCTCATCCAGATTGCAACTGTTAATGGAAACATATCAATTGGTGTCACATCAATTCTGAGGGCTTTATTTTTTGCCAATGCATTCAATACACCTTGCACTTCCTCTTTCATTACCATTGGCTCTTGCTCATCGGGTAATACATTGTGTTGCCTATGACATTTTTCAATATTGCCACTAGAGGATTAAATTTGTTTTCCAGTTCTCATAGCTTGAGTAATGCAGAGCTAGTTCTTCCCTTTTTATTCTCCAATTCCAGCTCTGTCCATATTCCATTATAATATTTTGCATTGCCTTCTGGAGGAGCCCTTTGAAATCTTCTGTTTAGCTATTTTACTTCACTGTGTTTTCCCTTTGTTTTTGGCTTCTCAGTGCTGTCAGGTAATTTTTAGAGTCTCTTCTAATCCATTTAGGATTTTTTTTTCTCCTCTGGCTTTGTAATGACTCTGCTTTCTTCATGGATGATACTCTTGATAGCATCTCACAACTCATTTAGTCTCTGATCATTGGTGCTTAATGCTCCAAACGTATTCTTCAGACGGTTTTGAAATTCATGTGGAATAGATTCAAGATCATATTTTGGTTATCATTGACTTATTTTTATTTTCTTGAGTCTCATTTTGAATTTACACATGGCATGGACATATTGTTAGAAATTGTTACCTATCCTTGGTAAAGGAAATCAAGCTTGGAAAACTGTAGGGTCAGCAAAAGATAAGAAAACTCTCAAAGAGATGAATTAACACAGTGACTGGAATGATGGGTTCTGGTGGGTAAGAGGTGATGAGGATGGCACAGAATAGGGCAAGGTTCAGATCTATTTTTCACAAGGTCACTATGAGTTATAGTCAACTCTATAGCATTTAAGAAAAACAATTACTAGGACAAATACTCCGAAAAATGGTTCACTGATTACTAAAGAGGAGAGTAGAAAAATATGACTTAAAGCAACAATGAAGGAGGTCTGGTGACATAGTCCATTGCCAGTTTCCAACAGTCATGCCTCTCTGGCACTTGGAATTCACCTGCACCTCCAAGAGAGAAAGATGAGCCATCTCCTATGTGATGTACAGAGTCAGGATTCTGCTGGAGTGTAAAGATGAGTTATGACTCAAAGATAATGAGAGGGTTTTTAAAGAAGGAAGTCTTTTTAAGCATGTTGTTGTTGTTATATGCCATCAAGTCGCTTGTGACTCATAGTGACCCTATGTACAACAGCCCTAAACCCCGCTCTGTCCTGTGCCAATCTCACTGCCTCTGACACACCCATCCCGATTACCCCGTCACTGAATCAATCCACCTCATAGAGGGTCTTCCCCTCCTGCGCTGTCCCTCCACCCTCCCAAACATGATGTCCCTCTCCAGGGACCGGTCCCTCCTTACAACATGTCCAAAGTATGTCAGACGAAGCCCCAGAATCCTTGCCTCCAAGGAGTAGCCTGGTTTAACCCTCTCCAGGATGAATCTGTTTGATTTCTTGGCAGTCCATGGTACATTCAATACTCTTCTCCAGCACCACAGCTCAAAGGCATCAATTCTCCTTCTTTCCTTCCTAATAGCATGAGTATATTTAAAACAAGCAGAAATGTATATATTTCTTAAAAATATATTTGATATTAAAATATTCATGGGAAAATGTTAGAAATTGAGAAGAAACAGGAATTAACTGAATTTTAAAGATTGTTAAGTATCAATGTGTCTGTTCTGACTCATGGTGAACCTGGAAACAGAAGAAATATCTCCCTCTTGCTGCACCATCATCACAATCTTGCCTATATAGTTGAGCCCATATGTGTAGCCATTCTGTCACTCTAACCAGTTGAGTGTTATTGTTGTTTTTATTTTAATTTTTATTATATTCTGCTTTACCAAACATGATGTCCTTCTCCAAGGTCTAGAGCTTCAAAATCCTTGACGCCAAGAAGCAACCTGGTTTCATTGTTTTTAGGACAAATTTGTTTATTCTCTTGGCAGTCCGTGGTATATTCAGTAATCTTCTCCAGCACCACAACCTAAAGGCATTAATTTTTCTGTCATCCTTAGTCAGTACCCAGCTCTCAGGTGAATACCAAGCAATTGAGAAGATGATGGCCTAGATCAGGCACACCTTAGTCTCTAAACTGACATCATTGCTATTTATTATTCTGGAGAAGCCTTGACAGCAGATTTTCCCAATGCAACTCGTCTTTTGATTTCCTGACTGCATGTGCTGAGAGATACTGATTGTGGATCTTAGAAAAATGGAAATAGTTAACAACCTCAATCTTTTCTCCATCTACCTCAATACTTTCTATTGGTCCAGTGAAGACAATGCTTGTTTTCTCCATGTTAAGATGCAATCCATATTGAAGGTTGCAGTTCTTGACCTCTTGAAGCAAACTCTTCAAGTCCTCCTCAGTTTGGGTGAGCGGAATTGTGTCATCTACATAAAGAAGGTTTTTTTATGAGTCTTCCTCCAATCCTAGTGCCATATTCTTTTTCCTAAAATCCAGATTCCTGAATAACTGTTCAGCAAATAGACTGAAAAAGTATAGAAAATGATACATCCCTGAAACACTCCTTTCTTGATTTTGAACCATGCAGGCTTCCCTCACTCTGCTCAGACAACAGCGTCCTGGTTGAGGTACAAGTTTTACATGAGCACAATGAAGTGTTCTGGGATTCCTGTTTTTCTCAATATTAGTCACAAATTGTGACTCACACAGTCAAATGCCCTTTCATTATCGAAGAAACACAGAGAGACATCTTTCCGGTACTCTTTACTTTCAGCCATGATCCATCTGACATCAGCAGTGATATCTCTTGCGCAAGAATTTTTTTAAGTCATTTGTCGCAAAATTGTACTTGATACTAAGCAAGAATCAAGAAGCAGGAGTGGCATCAACTTCCTAAACAATGTTTAGGAAACTCTATGAACTTTGATAAATGTCGATAGTTATAGAAGGGCTTCAGGCCTTTTGTTCATAAGGTCACTATAAGTTGTGCTTGACTCCAAGGCAATCAACAACTAATTATGTTATTAAATAATCTCCATGGTCTGTTTGATCACCTTTGTAATGAGCACTAATATTTGAAAATAAAAGGATTTACAGTGGTAAGACAATAAGAAAAGACTAGAGGCATGTGTCTCTGTAGAGTTAAGGGTTTATTCAAAGTGGCTTTTTGAGCCATTGTTTGACTTTGCTATGTGAATAAGTGGGAATATTCAAATACGGAGTGTTAGCCTATCCCATAAGTGGATTGTTAGTCTTACCTATACCCGAGGAGATTGTTAGTCTCACTCATTCCCAAGGGGATTGAGTAGTCTCACCAATAAATCAAGGGATCCAGCAGCACAGGGAAGAAACCTCACCACTAGAAAAAGAAGGGCAAACAAGAGAATGTAACTCATCTTTCAGGACCAAAGAAGGACAAGCAAGAGAATGCAACATGTCCTTTAGGAACAGAGCAACAGCCATAGCAGCCATAGCAGAGAATCAGAGACATAACATGAAATGGAGCGGACCTTGGGACTGCTGCTCCCCACAGACAGAAAGCTCAGAGCCCGTACTCAAATGTGTTGGACAACTTTGGGGGTAGGGAAGAGAGCCAATATTGGCAGGTCTAAGAACTTTGAAACACTGGCCTTAAACCACAAGACTCAAGGCTGAGGGGCCTGCAAGCACATTTGCAAAGCTGTCCTGACTATATTCTGCTACTAACCTGGATTATAAACTTTTTAACTTCCACACTATGGTTCTGTGTGGTCTCTGGCTGTTGCATTACATTTTGGACCCAGCAAAGCACTTAGATTGGTGCTGAACATGCAGGAGAGTGGGGCACATTCTCTGACATGAGTCTGACCTCATGGGAATGGTTTTGTGTTGTTGATGCTGTTGGCCGTGACAGTTACACTTTGAGAAACCAGTGAAGGTCAGACATGGCCGTCCCCACACAGCCCTTGCTCATTTTACAGTGTCTATGTGCCCAGTTTGTTCAGCATAGCATGATGTGGCAAAGAGTAAATTGTGTAATGGGATAGTTAATGTGGAAATAACAGAAAGTGATTGATTTTATTCTGTAAGTATTTCTTGAAAGAAAGTATAGTTTACTCAAGAATATTGTTTATGGTCATTATTGGAACACCATTTAATATCATTGTAAAGATTTGTACTCTGGTCACTTCAAAGATACTGTAACTTTAAAAAACTTGAAAGACATTTCAGCTATAATTTCAATGTTTGTTTTGCATCCTTTGCTAAGTGAGCTGTTTAAACATTTCTCATATTTTATTTGTAAAGTTCTGCTCTTATATTTGTTCATCTGTCCACTTGGAAAATAGTGAGAATGAATGCTAATCTAAAAAACCAAAAGTACGTGCTAATGACTTTATTTATTTATGTCCAACAGACTGAATGTGCAAATTTCATCCGAGTGCTTCAACCCTATAACAAAACTCACATCTATGTATGTGGAACTGGAGCCTTTCATCCAATATGTGGATATATTGACCTTGGACTTCACAAGGAGGTAAAAATAAGACAATAGTGCAACAAGCATGATTGATTGTAGTATGTTACTTAACGTAATAAGCACTTTATTGCATTAAGTAGGGAGATTTGAATTTAAAAACGGAATCATAAGGTTTATGAATTGTTTAAGAGCTTATTAGTTTTCTCAGGCTGCTTTAATAAAATATCAGAACACTATAAACTTTGATAAATGTCAATAATTGTAGAAGGGCTTCTGGTCTTTTGTTCATAGGGTTGCTCTGGGTCGTGCTCCACTGGAAAGCAATCAACAACAACAACATCCGTGTTTGTTGTCTCGTAGTTATGTTGTTGTTGTTGTTGTTATTGTTATGTGCCGAGTCGCTTGTGACTCATAGCAACCCTAAGTACAACAGCCCTATACCTTGCTCTATCCTGTGCCAATCTTATTATCTCTGACATACCTACCCCCATTACCACAGTCACTGAATCAATCTATCTCATCGAAAGTCTTTCACTCTTGCACTATCCCTCCATCTTCCCAAACATGATTCCTTCTCCAAGGACTGGTCCCACCTTGCAACTTGTCAAAGTGTGTCAGAGGAATCCTTGCCTCCAAAGAGTAGCCTGGTTTCAGCCACTCTAGGATGAACCTGTTTGTTCTCCTAGCAGTCCATGGTATATTCAGTACTCTTGTCCAGCACCACAGCTAAAAGGCATCAATTTTCCTTCTGCCATTCCTAGTTATTGTCCGGCTTTCTGATGCATAGCAAGTAATTGCAAAGACCATGACCTGAATCAGGTGCAACTTAGTATACAGAATTATATTGTTGCTCTTCAGTACTCTTGAGAGGTCTCTGACAGCCAACTTTCCCAATGCAATTTGTCTTTTAATTTCCTGGCTGCTGGTACCAAGAGTGTTGATTGTGGAGCCTAGCAAAATGAAGCTATTAACAATTTCAATCTCTTCATTGTCTATCATGATAATGCCAATTGGCCCAGTGGTGAGAATCTTTGTTTTCTTGATGTTGAGCTTCAATCCATATTGAAGGCTGCAGTCCTTGATCTTTTGCAGTAAGTGTTCCAGGTCCTCCTCAGTTTTAGCAAGCAGGGTTGGGTCAGCTACATAATGCAGATTGTTGATGAGTCTTCCTCTAATCCTGATGCAGTATTTCTCCTCATAGAGTCTGGTCTCCTGGATAATCTGTTCTGTATATAGATTGAAAAGGTATGGAGATAGGACACATCTGTGGCATAAACCCTTCCCAGTTTTGAACCATGCAGTGTTTCCTTGCCCTGTTCTGACAACTGCCTCCTTGACCAAGTATAGGTTTCACATGAACATACTGAAATGTTCTGGGATCAAGCAATATCACAGTTATAGAGGCTAGGAATTTAAAGTATTGAATTTATGGGTTCCTTATGATAGTTTTGCAAGAGAAACTTCTCCATGTCTCTCTTGGAGCTTCTAGTAACTCTAAACATTCCTATATTAGTAGTGCAGAATCACATGACATCATTTCTCTGTATCTCTCAATCTCTCTCTCTCTGTCTCTGTCTCTCTTTTCCTCTATTATTAAGACACCAGTAATAGCAACATAGGACCTATGCTACTCCAGTTTGATCTGATAGTATCATCAAAGACCCTATTTGGAAAAAGAAGTCGCATTCACATTCATGTGTGGCGAGGATGTCGACACATTTCTTATGGGAGAAACTAATTATTTTCCTCTTTCATCATTTATAGATTTGATTTTATACTTATCTACTCAATGATTTTTTTGTAAAAATTTTATTTTAGTTAGATGATCAAAATAACTTTTAAATGTTGAAAGTCTTTGATTTCTATGTCTTTCTTATGTATGTCTATATTTTCTCCTGAATTTCATATGCAACTGTCCACATTGTGTGTTGCTATTGGTAAAAAATTATCTGGATAATATAATACAGTGGAATTGCACCTTTAAAATAATTTTACTTTTTCCAATCCAATCAGGTTGAATTTCGTATGTATAGTTGTGGAAACTAAGATATAGAGAATGTAAATGATGTCTTTAAAGATAAATAGTAGCACCATGAACTCATTGTTTATGCTGGACTAAATTGACTTAGAGGAAACAAGGCTGTATTAATTAAAACTAATGGATTCCAAATATCAGTAAGCATTTCAATAAGTGGGAAATATGAGAACTTCTAGACTTTACCAATACATTAAAATGCCATTTTGAAAGAAAATAAAAAAATATTATTTTGTATGTGCCAGGGCTGTGCTGTGCATTGAACATTAAACATTTCTTTCTGAATTCCACAATACTTTTAAAGAAGTAAGTATCATTAGAATCTTCAATTTCAGCTCAGTAAAAAATTGTGTCTGAATGGAATTAAGAAGTACCCCTAAAATCACCCTACCAATAAATTGTCTAGCATGGATTTAAACCCAAATGGCACATATCCAGAAGAAACATGTTCAACACAAACATAAAATACTGTTTGATGGATCTTTTTTAGGGGCTGTATTGCCATCCTTTTCTTTCTCGGCATATACTCTCTGTGAATAATCACACATATTTGCAAGGTTTCTGACTGTGTCTAGACTACTGGAACAGATTTAATTACAATGACTTAACTGATTCTTGCAGAGCAGAAATCAAACTGCAACTGTGACTGGACACATTTTTCTCTCTAACCTGTGTGTATAACCCCACTCTTTGAAAATAAAGCCACTTGGATAGTTCAATATCTGTACCACTGGGAGACTTGAAAACTTGAATCTATCATTCTTGGTCTTTGGTGAAATGTTCTCCTGACTGGTTTTGATGAAAGGTAATAGGTAGCTGGGTCATTGTAAGTTACACTTGGCTCCATGCAGTGAGTTTAGACTATGTAACAGTAGCTCAAAACACAAAAAGACCTGGTGTCACAATGATAAAAATACTTAGCTTTTAATGAAAAATATCAGTTTATGACATAGGGTATAATTACATGATCTAGCATTTGGATGCCTGAGGGTAAAGTTGAAACTTAATCTGAGGAAGGCACAGAGGGTTTCATGGCTCCTAATAGCCTTACATGCTGAAATGGAATTTGCCCTTTTGTCCTGTCACATCAACTCCTACTCATAGCAATTCTGCAACTGATTGATCTATCTGATTCTGTAAGTCTTGTTCTATCCTGTGACATCATCACCTTTTCTGTTAGGTTCAAATTCATTGTTACAGTCACTGTAACGACCTAACTTGTTCAGAGTCTCCATTTTGATGACCCTAATGCTTTTTTCCAAGAACTGGCCCCTCCTGACAGCACGCTGAAAAGTATGTGACATGAAGTTTCACAATGCTTGCCTCTAAGGAGTACCCTGATTGCACTTCCTCCTAAGAGCTAATTACTCAGCTTGGCACTGTCTAGAGTCCTTGAAGCAGCCAAACTTACAAGTGCTGTGAAAAACAGAATTATCAGTCAACAAAGAGTATTGAGCCATGTATATCTTAACTGGTCAGGAAAAGCCTACTGGAAAATTGTCCAATTTTTTGTGTATTTTTATTCCCTGGGACAAAAACTCAGAAGTTTAAAGTCTTTTCCATTTCCAAATAGGTACATTTGCTCTTGGTGGCTGGAAAGAGGGAATTAGGGATGTAGGTGAAAAGTGAAAAAAGGAGCACTCCGGGAATTGCTATTTTGTGTAGCTGGGATAAATAGAAAGACTGGAAAAAGCAAAGGATGCTTGCTCACTTTTTTCAGACTTTGGCAGTGAGGTGGAGAGAAGCACTATTTATCAAGAGGAGATTAACAATGAGCTTGTGGGAAAAATAATGAGTTTCATTTTTAGCTTCTTGTATTCGAGAGATCTTTTAGTAAGTCATGTCTAGGAGTCTTTCACTACTTGAGAAACAGTAGGCTGTTGTCAACTATTTCTAACAGCAGTTTGAATATAGATCGCCTGAGTTTAAAGTCTGGCTTCAGTAATTTAGCAACTCTTTGCCCTAGATACAGGGAGCTCTGGTGGCCTACTGGCAAGAAGCTGCAATGTAATCCTAAAGATGTGCAGTTCAAATCTGCTCCATGGGAGAAAGATAGACAATCTTTTCCTGTGTGATTAATGGCTTCTGAAAACACACAGGACGGTCAGCTATGGGCGGTTTCCTATTTGATGGAACAAACAACATGTCCTATGCATACTGCATACACTTTCTGTTTTTTCAATAGATAATATTGTTGTTAGGTCCCTTTCAGTCAACTATGACTCATAGTGATCCTGTAAATAATAGATAAGATCCTAGCCTTGTTCTGTGCCATCCTCATGACCTCTCCATGCTCAAGGTCATTGTTACAGTTACTATGTCTATCCATCTCATTGAAAGTCATCTTCTCTATCACTGATCTATCTTTCCCAGCATGATGTCTTCTTCCAACGGCTTGCCTTCTTGACAAAATGCCCAAAATATGTGAGACAAAGTTGCCTCTAAGGATTACACTGGTTGTACTTCCTCCAAAAGAGATTTGTTTGTTCTTCTGGCAGTTCATGGAACATTCAATAATCTTTGCCAAGGATATTAATAGTAACTACCTCATAGAATTATATTGAAGAACAGATGAGGAAATGATTGTATAGGCTTTGGCATAGAGCCTGTTCCTAGTACTCATTATTCAGTCATTTTGGGACAGCAGTGTCATAGAAAGGTAGATAAGCATTTCAATACAAAATATTCATACCTACATCTATATCAATGACTACATTCTTTTGAAATTCATTTCTACCCAAAGGTGTGCAGTTTGAATTTGTCTGCTGTTCCAATGGAGAAAAATAGGCAATTGCCTCCTTTGCAATTTTCTGTTTATGAAAACCCGCTGAAGGGTCAACTAGAAGGCAGTTATAATGTGATGTTAAATAACAACAACAATAACAAAATATCTATATCTGTAGGTGTTTTGATCTTCAGAAAATATATGTATCTTTTATCTATATTTGCATATCCATCTGTAGAGACCCAGTCTACATTGTTGTTCTTGTTGTTAGGTGTCAGTGAATCCACTACAATTTAT